CTGTCTGTCTCTGTCTGTCTCTGTCTGTCTGTCTCTCTCTCTCTCTGTCGTGGGTGGGTGCGTGCGGGAGTGAGTGGAGTGAGTGGAGTGAGTGGAGTGAGTGGAGTGAGTGGAGGGAGTGGCAGGAAGTGAAAGGGAAGTGGAGGGAGTGGAAGGAGTGGAGGGAGTGGAGGGAGTGAGTGGAGTGGAGTGGAGTGAGTGGAGTGAGTGGAGGGAGTGGAGGGAGTGGAGGGAGTGGAGGGAGTGGAGGGAGTGGAGGGAGTGGAGGGAGTGGAAGGAGTGGAGGGAGTGGAGGGAGTGGAGGGAGTGGAGGGAGTGGAGGGAGTGGAGGGAGTGGAGGGAGTGGAGGGAGTGGAGGGAGTGGAGGGAGTGCAGAAAGTGGAGGGAGTGGAGGGAGTGGGGGGAGTGGAGGGAGTAGAGGGAGTGGAGGGAGTGGAGGGAGTGGAGAGAGTGGAGGGAGTGGAGGGAGTGGAGGGAGTGGAGGGAGTGGAGGGAGTGGAGGGAGGGAGCGAGCGAGCGAGCGAGCGAGCGAGCGAGCGAGCGAGTGCGTGAGTGAGTGAGTGAGTGAGCGAGTGAGCGAGTGAGTGAGTGAGTGAGGGAGTACTTGAGTGAGTGAGTGAGTGAGTGAGTGAGTGAGTGAGTGAGTGAGTGAGTGAGTGAGTGAGTGAGTGAGTGAGTGAGTGAGTGAGTGAGTGAGTGAGTGAGTGAGTGAGTGAGTGAGCGAGCGAGTGAGTGAGTGAGGGAGCGAGTGAGTGAGGGAGTGGAGGGAGTGGAGGGAGTGGAGGGAGGGGAGGGAGGGGAGTCAGTCAATGAGAGTCAATGAGTCAGTGAGTCACTGAGTCAGTGAGTCAGTGAGTCAGTGAGTCAGTGAGTCAGTGAGTCAGTGAGTCAGTGAGTCAGTGAGTCAGTGAGTCAGTGAGTGAGTGAGTCAGTGAGCCAGTGAGCCAGTGAGCCAGTGAGTCAGTGAGTCAGTGAGTCAGTGAGTCAGTGAGTCAGTGAGCCAGTGAGTCAGTGAGTCAAGTGAGTGAGAGTGAGTGAGAGTGAGTGAGAGTGAGTCAGCGAGTCAGTGAGTTCAGTGAGTCGGTGAGTCAGTGAGTCAGTGAGTCAGTGAGTCAGCGAGTCAGTGAGTCAGTGAGTCAGTGAGTCAGCGAGTCAGTGAGTCAGCGAGTCAGTGAGTCAGTGAGTGAGTCAGTGAGCCAGTGAGCCAGTGAGAGTCAGTGAGTCAGTGAGTCAGTGAGTCAGTGAGTCAGTGAGTCAGTGAGTCAGTGAGCCAGTGACAGTGAGCCAGTGAGTGTGAGTGAGTGTGAGTGAAAGTGCGTGAGAGGTGAGTGAGAGTGAGTGAGAGTGGCGCTCGTCTAGCGCTCCGTCCAGCGCCCGTCTAGTGCTCTTTTATCCCGGAAATGTTCCAGAAAATTCCGGGGGTGGCTTGCGCCTAGTGTTCTGTCCAGCGCTCGCCGAGCTCCGTCTAGTGCTCGTCTAGCGCTCGTCTAGCGCTCCGAGCGCTTTTCTATCCCCAGAAATTTTCCAGAATTTCCGGGGGTGGCTCGCGCTCTCCCTATTCTGGCGCTCGTCCAGCGCTCGTCTAGTGCTCGTCTAGCGCTCGTCTAGCGCTCGTCTAGCGCTCGTCCAGCGCTTGTCTAGCGCTCCGTCTAGTGCTTGTCTAGTGCTCGTCTAGCGCTCGTCTAGTGCCCGTCTAGTGCTCATCTAGCGCTCGTCCAGTGCTCGTCTAGTGCTCGTGCGGCGCTTGTCTAGTGCTCGTCCAGTGCTCGTCTGGCGCTCGTGCGGCGCTTGTCTAGCGCTCGCCCAGTGCTCGTCTAGCGCTCGTGCAGCGCTCGTCAAGTGCTCGTCTAGTGCTCGTCTAGCGCTCGTCTAGCGCTTGTCTAGCGCTCGTCTCGTGCTCGTCTAGCGCGCGCTCGTCTAGCGTTCGTCCAACGCTTGTCTAGTCTGGTGCTCCGTCTAGTGCTCGGCTCGTCCAGTGCTCGTCCAGCGCTCGTCCAGGGCTTGTCTACTGCTCGTCTAGCGCTCGTCTAGCGCTCGTCTAGCGCTCATCTAGCGCTCGTCTGGCGCTTGTCTCGTGCTCGTCTAGTGCTCGTCGAGTGCTCGTCCAGTGCTCGTCCAGTGCTCGTCCATTGCTCGTCTAGTGATCGTCCAGCGCTCGTCTAGTTCTCGTCTAGTGCTCCGTCGTCTGGCGCTCGTCCAGTGCCCGTCTAGTGCTCGTCTAGTGCTCGTCGAGCGCTCGTCTAGTGGTCGTCTAGTGCTCGTCCAGCGCTCGTCTGGCGCTCTGTCTAGTGCCCTTCTATGCCCGGAAATTGTCCAGAAATCTCCGGGGGTGGGTCGTGCTCTCCCCATTCCGGCGCTCGTCCAGTGCTCGCCTAGCGCTCTTCTAGCGCTCGTCCAGTGCTCATCTCGTGCTTGTGTAGTGCGCTCGTCCAGTGCTCGTCTAGTGCTCTGTCTAGTGTCTAGTACTCGTCTAGTGCTCGTCCAGTGCGCGTCTAGTGTTCTGCTTAGTGCTCGTCTAGTGCTCTATGTAGCGCTCGTCTAGCGCTCGTCTAGTGCTCGTCTAGCGCTCGTCCAGCGCTCGTCTGTCTAGCGCTCCGTCTAGTGCTTGTCTAGCGCTCGTCTAGCGCATGCCCGTCTAGCGCTCGTCTTGCGCACTGTCTAGCGTCTAGTTCTCGTCTAGCGCTCGTCTAGTGCTCGTCTAGCGCTCGTCTAGCGCTCGTCCAGCGCTCGTCTATAGTGCTCCTCTTAGTGCTTGTCTAGTGCTCGTCTAGTGCTCGTCCAGCGCTCGTCTAGTGCTCGTGCAGCGTCCAAGCGCTCGTCTGGTGCTCTGTCTGTGCGCTTCTATGCCCGGACATTTTCCAGAAATTTCCGGGGGTGGCTCGCGCTCTACCCATTCCGGCGCTCGTCCCGTGCTCGTCCAGTGCTTGTCTAGTGCTCGTCCAGCGCTCGTCTAGCGCTCTGTCTAGTGCTCTGTCTAGTGCTCGTCCAGTGTCCGTCTAGTGCTCCGTCTAGTGCTTGTCTAGCGTTCGTCTAGCGCTCGTCTAGTGCTTGTCTAGTCCGGCCAAAGTCGGATCCACCGGGCTCCCCGCTTCAAGCTGCTTCGCGACATCGCCACAGGAAGGCCAACGCTGACGAGCAAGCGCAGCTTGAGCATTCACGCAGCTCAAGGAGCAGCGCCAGGTGCCGATTTGGCGACCTTGGCCCACGTGGCCAGTTTTCTAGTGGGAGGGCCACGCTGGAACGGGGTTGCCGTTGCAGTCTTGCCCGGCAGAAAACCCCTTCTAACTTTTGTGGCTCCTTTCGGATAGCCTCTGCTGCAGAATAGGCGTCTGCGCCTTTCGTGTTTTTCTTTTTCTCCTTTGCCTCGACAGCCGATGGAGCTGGGCCATCAGTGGATGAGCCAAGAAGAGGAGCCAACAGGGTGCAGAGCCGACTCAACACCTCGTGTTGGGATACCCTCTGCTGCCGTTTCCGTTCCGTCGCAACCCCGCGACTCCGCTGAGCATGGCATTCAATGCCACCGGAGGGTTCTGTAAGGAAGCTTGAGCCAGCCTGTGCTGCAAGACATGCTTCTTCCCCCAACACATGCAGCTAGCCTGGTATCAAGGAGGCAGCCCAGCACCACAAACGTTCCCAAGTCCAAACTCATTATCATTTAGCCTTAACTTGAGCCACGATGCCACGAAGGCAAGTCCACCCACGCTGCTTGGTCAAAGTCGGCGCGCGACACCCACCAAATGCAAAGCATACTAAGCCCTGCGCGCAGGCTTTGTCGCAAGCACCTGTGAGCCCAACAAGCGCTCACGCGCGCCTGGGTCGCCAAAACTAGGCCCTTGCTCAAGCCATGTAATGGAGCCTGGTGGGCCTGCAGTTTCCCCCACGAGCTGGCTCATCCGGCGGCGACACGTTTCGCTGCCAGCGCGCGCAGAAGGGACATCTTTTCACAATGACGTCTACGCCGCTGTCGGTAACGGCGTAGCGGCGTAGCGGCGCACATGGCGGCGTGTCGGCGTAGCGGCGTAGCCGTAGCGACGCGTCGGCGTAACGGCGTAGCGGCATATCTGCGAAACGGCCCCCGGCACCTCAGCGCGGGCCAGTAGGGCCGCGACCTTCGCAAACGCTTTTAAAGAGGCCTCCTCTTCCAGCAGCAGCCGGTAGTGCTCGGCAGCGGCGCCGCTCAACCCGGCCGCCGTGCCGCGCTGCGCTGTCCGGAGCGCTGCGCCAACCTCCTCAGGCGACAAGGTCGTGGGAGCTTCTGTCTGGAAAGCAAGGACTTCCTGAGGAATAGCGCGCCGCGCTGCGCTTTGATGCCGCTACCCGGCCCTTCCAGTTCGCTCTCCGCGCGAGGGCGCGCCTTGGCCTCCATGCTGCGGGCAGCTGTGGAGCTGGACGCCGACATGGTCGTGGTGTCGCTCGATGGCAAGTGCGCGTATGATATTGTTTCTCGAGCGGTATTCCTCAGCAAGCTGGCCGAGGTCGCGCCCGCTGTAGTCCCCTTTGTGCGCAGCTTTTATGCGCGCACATCCACATACTTGTGGTGGGACGACGCGGGGGCATGCCACAGGATCTCCCAAGGCGAGGGCTGCGAGCAAGGAGATGCCCTAGCTCCTGCTTTGTTCGCGCTGGCGGTGCGTGATGCGCTGCAAGCTGCGCAAGCGGAGTTGTCCGGGCGACTGGCTGGCTGCCTTCCTTGACGACCTGTACATCAAGACGCGCGCGCCTCGTGCCCGGCCGCTCTGGATAGCGTCGCAGGAGAGGGGTGGTTTTCTGTTTCGCGGAATTGTTTCCCAGTTTTTGCAGCGAGGGCAAGCTGAAGCCGGACGAGGAGCTGGAGCCCTTGAGCTTCACGGTCTACAAGGACATGGACGTGTTCCTGACGAAGAATGTTCGCAAGGACATTGACTTTGTCAACGGCATGCTAGCGAAGGTGATCAACTACAACCCGCGAACCCAGAGCCTGCACGTCAAGACCCGGACAGGGCACCTAGTCGAGGTCTGGCGCTGGTCCGACCCGGAGTCGTCTGATAGCCCTTCTTCATAGGCTTCGCGGCCACCGGCTTGTTCTTGCACTTGGCCAAGACGTCCGCGTACCGCTGGTTCGTGGTGTGTTTTTCGATCGCGACTCGCACCATCTCCTCCGTCGGCAGGATGCCCCTCATGGTCGCAAAGTCCTCCAGCTGCTTCAGCGCCTGCTTCACGTCCTGGTGATTCTTGACCTCCGTGCTGTCCGACGGGGCTCCCTTCTTGGGCAGGTAGATCAACCGCAGGGCACATTGACTGCAGTGCATCCACATTCCCCACTTGTTGGACCGATGCCGCATTGGCTCGCGCGTTCCATAGCATGGCCATTGCTGGTCGGACGCTCGAGGATCCCGTCCGTCCAGCTCCATCGCTCGGTCCTTCTCCAGGACGTCCATCTGCTTCTTCCCCTCCTTGTCGCACTCCAACTGCTTCATCAGCACCGCCAGGTAGTCCGGCGACTTTACGGCCATGACCTCCTACCGGCACTGGCGAAGAGGGTGGCTCCACTGAGCTCTTGGGAGCAGGTTGCATGAGTCTGAGCCTCCTTGCTGCCGGGCTCGTCTGATTCAATTCGCTTCTTCGCTGCAGCAACTGACGGAAAAGTTCACCTCGATCAACCTCTGGCAGAACGACATGCAGTTCCAGAACTTCCACATCAAACGACACATGGCGCTCCTGTAGGAGAATGATGTTTGCATGCCCCTGGCTCACGGTGACGCCCCCTGTGAGGTACTCAACAAGATCCACCATATAGTGCCCCTTGGAGTTCTGCTGGAGAGTATAATGCCGTAGGGGGTCAATCAACGAGAAAACACACGTCCCATCCACCAGATCCACAACCATGCCCGTCCCGGTGTCTCCCGCGAAGTCCATGCCAACCAACACAGGAACCAGTAGGGAACGGTTCTCCTCGTTATCCTGATAGTTGCTGGGGTTGGGGAGCACATACACGGAAAAGGACCTTGGTTTACCAGATGCTGTGGATTGGAGATCTACATGATATTCTCCGCGACCCCACTTCCCGGACCCGAAGCGAAAATATGGGCGACGGCTCTGGTCAATCTTGATCGTCGCTCCTGGGTCTTTTGCCAGTAGGGCTTGAATCAGCCCACGAACAGCACCCTCGGGGCCAGCACTTGCTGTGGCTCCCGTGTCTAGCATCCCTTGACTGGGCTTACGCTCTGCATTCACCTTGGCCGACTGCGCCCCTGCTGCACGAAGGTCTCCACGTGTTTGCCCATCAACCTCCATCTCCAGTCCGTAGTAGTCGGCCACATACGCATTGACCTGGCTGCCCTTCGAACCTTTGAACTTGCCCTTGTTCTTGCCGTGGGGAAATGCGTACGCCATGTCATAGGCCGTCCAGTTGGCGTTCTTGTTCTTGTTCTTCCCCTTCGCCATGACCAGGTCCCAGTGCCAGTCCGAGTCTGCATAGTTCATGTGCTTGCCCATGAACTTGCCGCCCATGGGTTTTCCACCAAAACCTTTCCCTTTTCGCACGCCGGGATGTTGCCGGTCAGGACACTCTCTCGCCATATGGTTGCCCCCGCAAATGAAACAACCACTGCTTCCTTTCATCCCAGCGGATGCCGAGGGAATAAACCCACGCTCTCTCCTCATGGCCGCAGTGGCTTGCTGAGCCTGTGACCACGTTCGCTTCGCCTCCATGGCCAACACCTCAGCATCCTGCTCGGCCTTCTGCAGTTCTTGTAATCGAGGATCATCAGCGTCTTCTCCATGTTCGACTCCAGCAGGTTCCCATACAGGAGAATCGTCATCTCGCCAACCGACATGATATTGCCAACCAGCGTTCCAACCATCTCCCCATTCATCTCCCCAGTCCTCGTAGGGCGTGTCCTCCACGTACGTCGTGTAATGAACTGCTTCCGCAACATGAAGGTGATGTCCAGGGAGTGAAGGCTGAAACCGGGTTGCCGTCAACTGCTCGTCCCACAAGGTATGCAAGGCATCGCTGATGCTGTCATAGTCCAGGCGTCCGTTGGTGGCACTCAAGATGTCACGCCACTCCTCCGGACTCAATGAGGCAGCCACCAGCAGCCTCCAGCCTCTCAAGACATTGATGATGAAGGAGTCCATCACGTTCAGCTCGTCTTCCTCGTCCACGGCCACCGGGCTCGGTCCCGGTGTAGCTGATTCTCGACGTCCTCCCTGAGACGCCGCCTCTGCGGAATCCCGATGTCCGGCTTGAGGAGAAGCCGCTTGAGATTCCTGCGGATCACCTTGATGTTCTCCTTCAGCAGGAGCCGGTTCTTCAGCTAGTCCATCTCCGTCCGCGTCAGCAGCATCTTCTTCTTGAGACACTCGACGGTAGCCACGAGACCTTCTCCAACTCGAAGTGTCCGATGCATCCTCCACTCGGCTACCTCCACGCTGTCTCCACCGATCCCACTGACTCGGAGACCACCAATCTTGAAGATCGTCATCTCGATCCCGTTCTTCAGGTGCAGGTAGTCCAAACGTCCGTTTGCTCGGATCAACACCGCTGCGCTCTTGCTTCAGCCGGATGAGCGCCTCTTGGAACCTCAAATCCCAAGGTCTCCCGCACCAAGAAGTCCGCGACCTTCTCATCGTTGTACCGCTTAAAGCTGAAGTACTGGCTCATGATCGCCGCCGCATTCGGCATGCTTCTCCGCACCAATGGGCTCTGCGCGAGCTTCCGAAGATACTTGGTGACGCCGTCCTCCGTATCGAACTCCGCCTGCGACCAGCTCATTGCCAGGAGCCTGGCAGTGCCAGTGAGCTTGGAGATCAGCCTCGTTGCCAGATACTTCCGCATGCTCTGCTTGTTACCTCTGACATACCAGGCCACCTCCTTGCAGTAGCGTCTCCAACCCTTCGGGGCTCCATCCCAAGTGGGCACCACTTCCTTGCCCTCCATGGTCTCCCTGATCGCGCCAAAGCGCGTGTTCAGCTGGACCGTCACGTGCTCCGCTACCAATGCAACAGCCGCCCTCAGCGGCTACACACCTTGGTTTTCCTCCTCAAGGAAACGCGTCATGGCTTGTCGCCAACGGTTTGGCTGCTAAAGAGAGGGCCCTCCCTGGCAAAGCCGAAAGGGTTCACGATGCATGTGCTTCTGTACTGTGGTCTGGGCAAACCAAAATGGTCTATCGCAGTATCCAAACCCGCACTCCCCGAAGTAGCCCGCGTCGGGATCTTGGCCGTCTCACTGTTAAGACTAACGTACAAGGTATTCGGCTTCTTCTTCCATCGCTGCTCAATCGGGTCAACCTCGACCGGCATAGCATTCGCGACCTTCTTGAACGTGCCGTTTGGGTACCATGCTCCAACGATTGCCTCGCACATCGCGCTCGGATAGAGAGCAGTCGTTGGGGTGACCGACCCTTCAATGCGTGCATGAAGGTATCCCTTCTCGTGCTTGCATATCCGACCTGACAGCTCATCAATGAGCTCCTTGGAGGTCACTGCTTCCTGATTGGCACACCGTCCTTATCCTGCATCCCGAAGTCACAGCCGTCGAAATCTACGGTCTCGACATCAGGATCAGCAAGAAACCTCTGCATGAACGGTTGCTTCCATCCAAGACAGTGTCTAGGCCACTCAAATGCAACCCTGCCCCCTCCTCGCCTAACGGCTCGGGAGGCCCGCAGGAATGCCGCAAACATTACCTGAGAATTTCTTCTCAGATCATTCAGGTGTGATGCAAACTCAGCACCGTGGATTGAAAGGTTGACATACTGCCATGTACTCCACGGTCCGCACGGAATTGACGCCCACAGGTCACACCCAGGATTATCCTCGATGATCCCAATAAGCCGACTAACGTCTTTGGCTTGGGTGATGTCAAATGAGCCAACGTGAACGCGAATTGCATCGCCTCCACACTCCATCATCACTGCGGACAGACGCGAGTCAGGTTCACACGCAAACTCGATGAGGAGCTTGCGGCCAGGCGCTGGAGCAGCCGGGTCCCTCTCAGGATGTTCGCGGCGTCGTTCTTCGCTTAGGGATAATTCGTTCGGTTTGAACATATATCTCCCGAGACCGGGTAGACATCTGTCTCCAACTATCTGCATCAATTGAATTGGGTTTTCCGGTGCCTGCGTATGGCCGCTCACGCCTATCGGCGGATTGGCCATAGTCGATCCTGTCTCCGTGCAGCTTATGGCCCTTCTTCGGACCTCCGGCAGGTTCGGCTCCTTCTTCCTTTGGCTTGAACCTGCCGTGGGGAGCACATCCCTTATCAAAGAGGATGGTCACGCCAGTCCAAAAACCACGCGTGAAATGCCGATGATTGGGAGCATCGTGATGACGATCATCTCTCACCCAATTTCCAACGGCATCAATCCCCCGCATGTGCGTGACCCTAACGGTGTCAAGCTCCTCATGCGAAGGACCACCTGGAGGAAGGTCCTCGTTCGTCGTCCCGAAGAACTTCTTCCGCACCTCAACGTGGATACGATACCAGGCGCTGTCCACGTCGTGCCGCTCCCAGTAATCTGAGACGCACGCGTCACCACTCCCTTGGACAGCCTTGCTCTGAATGGCCCCATCAGACTTGGAAGAGCTACCGCCCCCCTCGTCCTGTTGGTCATCGTCATCATCATCAGGATCATCAAATCGACCTTCATCAAAGTCGAATTCATCCCTGATCTTCCTACTCGGCTTCATGTCGGCCCTTCGGTCAGCTAACGCCTCCCGAATGGTCCGAGTCCTAGCATCATAGGATGCCAACATCGGGAACACGTAGGGCTTCTCAGGGTTGTTCCAGATACGTCTGACCTGGTGTATACTTGGTTTCCTGAGACCCCTTTGGATGTGCTCGAGATCAGCAACGAGATAGTCGCCCTTCCACAGCCCCCCTGGTTCTAACCGATAGCCCAGAAATAGGCCTGGCTTGGAAGATGGGGCGAACTTCGGATCCTCCTCTATCTTGATGAAGTCCCGCTCTTTCTTCTCGGCGGGCAGGGCAGTAGTGACGCTTGTCTCTTCAACCTCTACCTCATCAATGGGAACAAAGTCCGGTTCGTCGTTGCATTCGGGTTCATACTCCTCGTTCTCATAGATCTCGGCCTCATCCTCATCGATTTGATCAAAATCACAGTCGAAATGAGTTTCTCCAGTCCATTCGTGGTTACCTCCACGGTCGTTTTCGGCCTGGATCCAGAAGGGCAGAAGGCATGCCCGCATCTTGCCAAGGGCCTGAGGCAAGCCCATCAGAGCCACAGCGGAATGCAAAGTGAGCTGTGGAGGCCAGGACGGCCACAGGTGCGAGGGGACCTTTGTAGACAAAGGTGCCCCCGGCCCCGGAAGCCCTTCCGCCGAGGAAGGGGAGTGGATCCAGTTTTCGTCAACAACAAATTCGGTCAATCCGTCCAGATAGTTGAGGACTGTGCTCCGCCTCCTGCCAAGGTCTTTGATCTTGACTGGACAGCTCGTCCAGTATCGGGATAAAGAGCTCGGTTCGCGCTTCAACGTGGACGCGAGTGAGAACCTTCTCGTCTTCATTTGCGATCCAGTGGTCTCCTCCCTCATTAACGTCCTCTGAGTCGACCTTTCCAGCGTGTCTGAAGTCGTTTTGGGCGTTTTGAACTCCCCCCCTTTCTATCCCTGCGAATTTTGGGAGCAATGGGGTAGAAGTCGACCAGACAACCAAACGGCAGAATGACTCCGCTGAAGTTCCCGTCACCGTGGCGTCGCATCCACGGTGATCCCTCACCGCGATTTTCAATATTCCTTGCCATGGAAAAATGCCTAACGGCAAATGGCCACCATCGAGGTTCAAATCCAGCTTGACGCAGGAGCACACGTGCCCCATGAAGAACGAGCTTAACCTTGTTCTCGATCAGGCCATTGGTCTTGGGCATGCCCGGTGTAGAAAGCCGGTGCAATGCTCCAAGCGTAGTGACAGCATTTTTCAGCTCTGGGGCCTGGTCGCTGTACACTAACTTCAGAGTTTGCCCCCCTGCAAACCTGCGAAATGCCTCCAGCGTATTGCTACGGGATCTGGATTGCACAGGAAGGACTTCGAGGTAGTCAGTAGCGAGGTCATAGAATACTATCGCATCTGCTTCGCCATGAAAGCCTCGATCCTTCAATCCTCGCAACACCATCGTGTCAGCGGTGGTTAGGTCCCCGAAACTTACCACGTCATGCGCAGCAGCACCACCTTTGCGGCGAAGCTTGACATTCTCCATTTTCGCACGCTGGCAGTGCAGGCAATAGGGGTTCTTCGGGAGATGCGTAAGCATATGGCGAAGCGTCTTAGCATCTGCCCGCCACTCAGCCTCTGTGCGTAGTCCGGAGAGAAAGTTTATCTCGACAATGTCACCATCGTCCCCTTCCCCTGGGCCAGGAAAAGGTGGTGAGTGGCTATCGCCTTCACCCCCCTGTTCCGCCTTTCCGGGAAGAGCAACGGTCTCGCACTTGACCTGAAACCACGTTTCACCCGTCCATGGGACATCAGATGCTATCGCATGCTGATCTCTTTCGGACAACTCCCATAGACTATCAACCAGCACCTCATGGGTAACCCCATTTCGGTGAACGACGGTCTTCCTGTAGTTGTCCAATCGATCAACCCCAACGGGACAATCGTCACCTGTCGGCACAAACTTTGCTTTTCGCGGGATCCGGTGCTCCTTCACAACATGGCCCGACCGCTCAGTGCGCCAGGTGTCCTGTAGCTCACTCTTGGCCGTGAGTTCAGATCTACGCGGCAGAACCTCGCTGACTTCATGCCCTTGATACGCCACACCGGGGGCAGGCATAGCAGGAAGTGGTTCAGCATCATCAAGAGTGGGAGAAACAAACTGAGTGTCACCATGAGGAAGGTACGGCACGTTGTTGATGACATCCAATGTCACCATGCGGCCCGAAGGACACGTGAGAGTAGGCTTGCAACCTGCAGTCCATACGAACGAGTATCCCATGTCCATACAGCGCTTGCCAACGGATATGATGGATGGAGTGGACTCAAGGACGTGTGCCTCAATCACCTCGTCCAGGTTGCCAACATCAGCATCAACACGACCAGCGGTGCGAGTCGCCCCGTTAGCAGTGTCCACCGCGTGAGTGTGCCCGCCTTTGGCAATCAGGGCCCTATCGGGTCCTTTCAAATCACCAAGACCGACCAGATCCATTGGGCAACCAGTATCTACCAGCCACCTCACCCCGCCGTATCCAACAGGTGCAGCAAC